TTCTAATTCTCACGAAAACTCTGATAAACAGATATGATCTACATTTTATTGCTACTGTGACTAACCGAGAATAAATGATTTTCACATTCAGTAATGGTTAGGCCAAGACTCAAAAAGCCAGGATTTAAAAGCCATTCCTTTGTTTTTTTTTGTAGCATATAACCCCAAATGTACAGAGAGCACAGCCAGAATGACAACATACAGCTGTTAGACTTAAGAAAGAAGATGAAATAATTAGGATTGGCATACCTTATACCAGAGTGGAACACGTTTTGAAGAGTAAGAAACACTGATATATGAAGTATAACTTGACCCTGGAATGTATTAGATGTAGTTATAATATTTGTAACCCCTTCCATTAGATGTGATTTTAAGTTTGGCATGTTAGCTATAGATAAACATTTTTTCTTGGTAAACAGCAGTAATACACTTCAGTGAAAAATGGAAAAAGACATGATATTTAACTTTTTTGAGTGCACATGTAAATTTTAAGTTTTCATTTGGAAAACGATTATATGCAAATATAATGATAAATGCAAGATGAAAAATGCACAGTGTTTATGGCAAAAATGGTTGATGTATTAAAATATTAAAAATTATTACATAATATTTATGAGAAAAGAGCAAAAATCCAAAAAAAATTGATCAATGGATATAAATAAGCAATTTGGGATAGAAAAAAATATGAAGCAAAATTGAAAATAGAAAAGACAGGCACCTCTCTCATCATTAAAGAAACAAAAATTAAAACAACCAAGGTAATACTATATTTACTATTTGTTTGGCAGAGTTAAAAGTAATCACCTTAGCTGTTAGGAACACTGCCTCTGCAGCTGGAATCTTCCATCATTTTATTTCTGAGCTGTGTGATCCTGGATAGTTGGTGAACATTTTTGTGTCATGTTAAAATAAACAAAACCAAAAACAACTCTCTAGTCATAATAAAAGAGTTGTTGTGAAGTTCAAATGAGGCCATGCGTACACATTGGACTGAGAGCAGTTTAAAGAATGTGAGCTAGTTATCACTAATAGCATCTATAATATTAACCATTAGTAGTAATCATTAATAGTAATGTATCATTTTCTCCGCTTTCCATGTATATGAGAAAACAAGCAACCAAAA